GTATGGGAGAAAGAAAATGTATGTTTTTGTGTGTGTATGTGTATGTATGTGTGTGTGTGTGTGTGTGTGTGTGTGTGTATATATATATATAGTGTTCTGGTTACCTAGTGCTGCTCTGACAGGAATATACCACAAATGGGAGTTCAAAGTGCCAGGCTCTAGGGGCTGGGTGAAAGCCCTTCAACCTTGGGTTTCCGCTTTGCCTCCTGCTCCCATCCCACTGAAGCTAGAGGCTTTTCTTCACTCAGACAGCTGCTGGCTGCTGAGGCTGACAAGCCCAAAGTTGACAAGTAAAAAAGGCACAGTTCTGATGTTACCAAACCACACGGCAGGTCATTAATTCAAGTCCATTGAAAGTCCCAAGGTTGGCAGAGCATGGCAGGCTGCTGAACAATACAGCTACATGTAGAGTTTAAGTGTGCCATAAGCTAGAGACCATTCCCAAAGCTGCTGCTTATATGTGGGAAGCAGACCACATACCTAAGGCAGCTTACTCAGCTGCTCACAGTAGATTTCACCTTGGAGTTGATTACCAGTCTCATCATGGGGAATACTAATTACATCTAGCTGCCCAGCCACTCAACCAGGCCCAGCCAAGTTGACACACAAACTGAACTACCACATGAGGCTATTGAAAGTACTGTAGCTTTGGGTCAAGCACACCTTAGTCTTCAAAGTGACATCTTATTAAAAGATTAGTAGTGATAAATACTAATATGTAAGTTAAATCAATGCAAATTTATATAAATATTAGTTAGTCATATAATATATTTATAATACCTTCCAAAATTAAATATACACCTTTTGACCCATCAGTCTCACTTCTTGCTGTCTACCCTGAAGGTACCCCTCCACAGGTACACAACAAAATATACAGATTATGGTATTTCCACACAATGACTATTAAAATCTGTTTAGGAAAAAAAAAAAAAGATGTACCGGTATGAGATATATTTTGAAATGCAGAAATAAGAATGCAGGGCAGTGCATATGGTGCGCTACCTTTTGTTACAAAAGGATGGAAATAATATGTTTATGTGTATATATTTGTTTATTCTTTAAAAAAGAAACACTGAAAGAATGAACCAAAACTTAAAATATAGTTGCTTTTGGGACGGAGGGTCAGTGTAAAAGGGGAAGACTCTCAACAAGACGAATTGACAAAGTGGTTGTAACAGTAGGGTCAATGATAGCAATGATTGTGATGGTGACACAGAATCAGGCAGTGTTTCATTTTGTTGTACACGGGGTTGTTATGAGTCAGAAGCAAGACAGCAGCTAACAACATGGGGTGAAAAATAGGGATGAAAGCAAGACTTGTTTAGGTCTACCTTTTTCATGTAATCTTGATTTTTAAATCATGTAAATACTTTACATTCAAAAACTGAATATTTAAAAACAAACTAAAATTTAAAACAAGTTGAAGATAATGAAGTTAACTGATTATCAGTTTGGTAATATAGCTTCACAGGAGAAAAATTATTTTACATGAGTTTGAAAAAAGTTCTCTGGGTATACATCCTTAATAATGAATATTTCTGAAGTACTGTATTAGTTTTAAAAAGACTAAAGAAACATAACCCAGTGTTACTAGTGAATGTACAATTGGATCATGATTTTGTGGGAAAAAACTACAAATGAAATTGTTGGGGATATTTCAGTGTAGACTGGATATTTGATATGTGCAAGAATTGTTAATTTTCTTAGGTGTGACAGTGGTATTAAGCTTATGTAGAACAGTATCTTTATTTTTAGGGAAAGGAGACTTCAGTATTTAGGGTGGAAGTGGTTCAGGAAAAAATATATAAACACATACTTAGATAAAGCAAAATGATGACAGTAGTTGACTAGGTGTTGTTGACAGTTGACTAGTTATGTATTTAAAATAAATAAATTTATTTTAAATATAAAATTATCATAAGACATCAATTGCTCATATGCAAGTTTAAGTTGAAGCTGAAGAGAAAACAAGTCCACAAGAGCCAAAATATGACCTTGATATATCTCACCTGGTGTTCTGGTTACCTAGTGCTGCTCTGACAAGAATATACCACATATGGAATAGCCTTAACAAACAGGAGTTTATTCTTATAATTTGGAGGCTTTAGGTCCAAGTTCAAAGCGCCAGGCTCTATGGGCTGGGTCAAAGCCCTTCAGCCTTGGCCTTCAGCTCTGCCTCCTGCTCTTGGCCCACTGGAGCTTGAGGCATTTCTTCACTCAGACAGTTACTGGCTGCTGAGGCTGAGAAGCCCCAAGGTTGACAAGTAAAAAGACACAGTCCTGATGTTACCAAACCACATGGCAGGCCATTAACTTAAGTCTGTTGTAAGTCCCAAGGTCAGCAGAGCATAGCAGGCTGCTGAGCAACGACACAGCTACATGCAGGGTCTAAGCGTGCCATATGCTAGAGATCATTCACAAAGCTGCTTCTTATATATGAGAAACAGACCACATACCCAAAGCAGCTACTCAGCTGCTTTTGGTAGATCCCACTACAGAGTTGATTGCCAGTCTCATCGTGGGGCATCACTGCCACCAGCTGCCCAGCCACTCATCCAGGCCCAGCCAAGTTGACACAAAAACATAGCCACCACACCTGGATTTAGAGACAATCTGAAGGGTAGGATTTGACTTATTGACCACCAGTGACCAAAAACCAGATGGATTATGTGATGACATCAAGAATATCTTCCATGAAGAAAGCAAAAGGTCATTAAAAAGACAGGAAAGGAAGAAAAGACCAAAATGAATGTCAGAAGAGACACTGAACCTTGCTCTTGAATGGAGAGTAGCTAAAGCAAATGGAGGGAGCTCTGGTGGTGTAGTGCCTAAGGCACTTGACTGCTAACCAGAAGGTTGGTGGTTCAAACCCACCAGCCACTCCTCAGAAGGACGATTGGGCAATCTACTTGCATAGAGATACTGCCTCGGAAACCCAAGGAGGGTCTGATCGCTATAAGTCAGCAATGACTCAGTGGCACACCACCACCACAACAACAAAGCAAATGGAAGAAATGACAAGATGAAAGAGCTGAACAGAAGATTTCCAAGAGCAGCTCGAGAAGACAAAGTCAATTATTATAATGAAATGTGAAAAGACCTAGAGTTAGAAAACTAAAAGTGAAGAACCACTCAACATTTCTCGAGCTAAAAGAATTGAAGAAAAAATTCAAAGCTCAAGTTACAATATTGAAAGATGCTATGGGCAAAATATTGAATGATGCAGGAAGCATCAAAAGAAGATGGAAGAATATGCAGTCACTGTATGAAAAAGAATTGATTGAGGTTTAGTTATTTAAGGAGGTGACATATGATCAAGAGCCAGTGGTATTGAAGCGAGAATTTGAAGTTACACTGAAGGAATTGGCCAAAAACAAGGCTCCAGGAATTGATGGAATACGTATTGAGATGTTACAACAAACAGATGCCATGCTGGAGGCACTTACTTACCAATGTCAAGAAATTTGGAAAATAGCTACCTGGCCACCTGACTGGACAAGATTCATTCTTATACCAATTCCAAAGAAGGGTGATCTAACAGAATGTGGAAATTATAGAACCATATCATTAATATGTGGAAGGAAGACTGGGCAACCTACTTCCATAAAGATTTACCTCCTTGGAAACCCAGAGGGGGTCGCTTTGAGTTGGAGTCAACTCAATGGCAGGGAGGTTTTGGTTTTTTTTTTAAATCATTAATATTACACAAGTAAAATTCTGCTGAAGATAATTCAGAAATGGTTGCAGCAGTATACTGACAGGGAACTGCCAGAAATGCAAGCTAGATTCAGAAGAGGATGTGGAATGAGGGGTGTCATTATTGATGTCAGATGGATCTTGGCTGAAAGCAAAGACTACCAGAAAGATGTTTACTTGTGTTTTATTGACTATGCAAAAACATTAGACTGTGGAACATAACAAATTATGGATAACATTGCACAGAATGTGAATTCCAGAACACTTAATTATGCTCATGAGGAACCTGTACCTAGACCAGGAGGCTGTCATTCAAACAGAACAAGGGGATCTGCACGGTTTAAAATCAGGAAAGGTGTGTGCCAGGGTCATTTCCTTTCACCATGCTTATTCAGTGTGTATGCTGAGCAAATAATCCAAGAAGCTGGACTATGTGAAGAAGAACATGGCATCAGGGATTGGAGGAGGACTCATTAACAGTCTTGCTTGCTGAAAGTAAAGGTGACTTGAAGCACTTAATGATGAAGATTAAAGACTACAATCTGCAGTATACCTCAACATAAAAAAAAAAAAAAAAATCCTCACAACTGGACCAATAAGTAGCATTAAGATAAATGGAGAAAAGATTGAAATTGTCAAAGATTTCATATTGCTTGGATCCACAGTCAACAGCAATGGAAGCAGCAGTCAAGAAATCAGATGTTATATTACACTGGGCGAGTCTGCTGCAAAAGATAAAGTGCTGAAGAACAAAGATGTCTCTTTGAAGTCTAAGGTGCACCTGACCCAAACCATGGTGTTTTCAGTCACCTCATATGCATGTGAAAACTAGACAATGAATGAGGAAGACCGAAGAAGAGTTGATGCTTTTGAGTTGTGGTGCTGGCAAAGAATACTGAAAATACGGTGGACTGCCAAAAGAACGACCAAATCTGCCCTGGAAGGAGTGCAACCAGAATGCTCCTTAGAAGCAGGAATAGCCAGACTTCATCTCACCTACTTTGGTTATGTTGTCAGAAGGAACTGTTCCCTAGAGAAGGATACCCATGCTTGGTAATGTGGAGGGTCAGCAAGAAAGAGAGAAACCCTCAACAAGATGGATTGACACAGTAGCTGCAGTGATGGGCTCAAGTATAGCAAGGATTGTGAGGAATGTGCACAGCTGAGTTTTGTTCTGTTATGCATAGGGTCACTATCAGTCAGAGCCAACTCAATGGCACCTAACAACAACAGCAACATGATTAGCAAAAGATCAGTGTTGGTAATATGTAAAGAACTTTAGCAAATTTGTAAGGAAAAGATAACCCAGTACAAGTTTCCCCTATTCTTCACAGTAGAGCATTCCTCTGAAACCTTTCATAAGCCAAAATGACATTAAATGAAGATGCAATTACCATTAATTTATACGGGAAAATTTTTGAGTATTCCCATGCTTCGTCACCCATCAGTTCACTCAAGCAGTAGACCTTCCATTTTATCTATTACTGGATGCTGACTAAAAGAGACCACTTTACTACCAGCTGAACCAATAGTAACTTTGGCAGCTTTCATGATTTTTTTTCTCTCTGCATTTAGATAGTACTAATGGTGGACACGGGGAGATCCAACACATGCACAGTATCTTTATTTCGTTCACCACTATCGAAACACTTAATTACGTCCTGTTTTATGCTAAGTGTAACACCTTTATGAGCTCTTTTATAGGCTTTTCGGGTACCTTAGGACACATCTTGCTAATGGATGCACCAAACACGTTGAGGTAAAGCACAGGTGCTCACACAGTTCAAAGCTAAGGCATCTTGATACTGAGATGCTGAGTGTAATTCCTAGGGATGGAGGTTGGTAACACCACTCTTCCTACTTGGGTGCATGCTGGTTCTTTAATAGCTTGCTGCAAAACAAATGCTGAATGCTGTTTCCACTTTTTTTCGTTAAAACAAAAATCCTCTTCAGATTTATTTTAGTGAAAACAGTTACTAATGAAAGTCTTTCATAAAAGTGAAGTGGCATGAAGTGAACTTTTGAAAAGGAGATAATTGTATAAATAAAAACAGTAGATAGTAACATAAGCTGTGGCAAAAGAAATTTCAATAGCCAATAAATATAACAAAAATACTATATGTAGTAATCAGGGAAATGTACATTGAAACTATAGCAACATGCTATTTAATAATCATAAGACTGGAAGAAGTTAGCAGTTCCACAGTATCTATCAACATAATAAATGCATGTATTCTTTCATCTACTTCTAGAAAATTGTCCTACAAATAGGTTTATACATGTAGAAAATTATTCATGTACAAAAATATTCATTGCTGTATTATTTGTAATAGCAAAATAATGAGAACATCTTAAACGTCCATCATTTGGGGTCTGGTTATATACATTATGAAATCCTTATAGTGATTTACAGGAGTATCTTTTTTTACTGGTATGAAATTAATTCCAATTCACTTTTTCTAAGTGAAAAACACAAATGGCAGAACATTGTGTATAAAGTGCTCTCTGTTGTATTGTAAAAGAGCTCTGGTAGCACAGTGCCTAAGGCATCTGACTGCTAACCAGAAGATTGGTGGTTCAAACCCACCAGCCACTCTGCCGAAGCAAGACTGGGCAATCTACTTCCATAAAGATTTACCACCTTGGGAAACCCAATGGGGGTCACTGTGAGTCGGATTCGACTCGACAGCAGTGAATTTGATTTGGTTTTGGTTTATTGTGTTGTGAAAAAAGGAAGATGATCTGTGCTTACACTTGTACACACATAGGCTGTCTGTGAGAGAACACAAGAGAAATTGACTAGCTCTGGGGAGGAGGAGAAGGGGAATCTTTATACCTTTTTATAAAATTTATTTAAAAAAATATTTTAAGTATATGTAGTACCCATTCTAGAAAGTAAGTATATGATTATTCCTGTGTTTTAAACATTGAACCTGGAGTCTCATAACTTGAATTCAGATCCTAGCCACAGTTCTTACTGGCTCTGTTGCATAGTTTACTTACCCTTCCTGTTCCTAATTTGCATCATCTCTAAAAGTTATAGTACCTACACTTACCTCATAAGTGTGAGGCTATGTGATGTTTAAGTCCACTTAAAACACTGAGTACATTGTACTATTTCAGTATTTTTTAAGCACCATAAAAATATAATAATATTTGATAATGTACTCACTTAGGTCCAGAATCTCAAAAATAACATCTTTTGTAGTTTTGATTTTCAGTGATATGCATTCTATTTTAAAACGTATGGCCTTGTAACAGAATAAAACAAAATATCCTTCTGAAATGAGTAGCTCTGTGAATCAGAAAGGAGCTCTGATGCCATAGTAGCGTAGCATTTGGCTGCGAACCAAAAGGTCAGTGGTTCAAATCCACCAGCTGCTCCATGGGAGAAAGATGAGGCAGTTTGCCTCCATAAAGATTTGCGATCTTGGAAACTCTATGGGAACGGTTCTCTGTAAAGGGTCACTGTGAGTCAGAATCAACTTGTTGGCAGTGGGTTTTGGTTGGTTTGGTATGAATCAGCAAAGTACATTCTTGTTTTGCCTCCAATATCTACTGTGTATTTTTTTCTTTATAGAAATGTGAACATAATTTGAGCAAGCCAGAATTTAATCCAACATCTATCAAATTTAAAATCCAGCTGGTTGCTGTGTGAGTATTTTGTTTGTGATTTTTTTAAATTATTGTTGTTCATGTTTTACTTTTGTTTTATTTTTCAATGTGAAATATGCTTAAGCCTTGTCTTAAAAAAAGAAAAGAGGAACAACGTCAGAATAATCTGCTTGTTACTTTATACCTATTTAGCTTTGCAATTTAGTTACCCTATGTGAAGATTTAAGTTAAATCTTCAGGTTTAGAGTTAAAGATGCTTGTATTAGGGACACAGTGGTCACACTGTGTGGTCTGGGGCAGTGTGGTCTTTGATTATTGAGTGGAGAGTCATTTGTCATTTGTTGCAAATTATAAAGTACCTAAGTTTGGTAATGATCTTTTAAAAGTAAAGTAAAAATAATAAAGTATGGCAGATTGAAGGGTAACCCTATCTAGTCATTTCATTTATTGGTGTCTGATATACTTCAGGGAGTAGGATAAAAGTGATTAAGTTAATGTTAGTAACTCACTGGGACTTGACAGTAGAAGAGAATTTTATACAAAAATCACTTACCAAAAAAAAAGAAAATTTTTTTCAGTTAAGGAAATGTTTCTTGGGGTCAGAGAGTCCTTCCTAAGCAAACCAGGAAACATAGAAGCTACTAAGAAAAAGAGGCAGATTTGACCTTAGCAAAATGAAACATGAGTTGTAAAAGACAAAATATAGAGCAAAGTCATGAGGCAGAGAGTGGAGCCATAAAAGATATTTGCCACTTAAGACATATAAAAGTTTTAATATCACTGATACACGTAATTCTACAAATTGCAAAGATCAAAAAGGAGGGAAGAGCTGGGGCAAAGAATTTGAACAACCAGCTTATAGAAGAGGAAATCCAAATGGCTGACAACTATATGCTGAGTGCTGAGTACTGAAACTTGAGAGCTGAAGTTCAACAGTAGCATCTAGGGCTAGTGAAGATGTAGGGAAACCCATATTTACATACATTGTTGGTAGGATTGTGAATTGCTAGAGCCTGATCTGGAGAGTGTTCTGACAGTATCAAGACAAATCACATACACTTTAACCAACAATACTATCTCAGTAATCTACTCTGGAGAAACAGAAGCAGCAGTATGTAAGGGTATGTTTACAAAGATAAAGTATTGCAGCATTTCAGTGGCAAAGACCTGGAAATAATTTCTGTGTCAAGCTGATTAATCATCAGCAGGGAAATAATTGATTAAATTGAGTTACACTCATGCTACAGAATATTATGCAGCAATTAAAGACAAGTCAGTGGCAGACAAAAAGGTGGAGAAATCTAGATCTGGTGAGGTAGGAAGGCCACGTATGAGCCTGTCACTTAACCGTGTGTATCTCAACTTTAGTTCCTTCCTTGGAGTAGTAACTACCCCTGTGCTGCCGCCCTCTCAGGGTTGTTGAGAAGAATCAAATGAATTACTACGTTTACAAATGCTTTCTACTGTAAAGTGTGTTCCATATTCTTAATCACTCTTATTTAGTACATGAGTGGTTAGAAATGAAAGAATGACAAAAATAGCACATAGGAAGTCTGGTATAAATTCCTTTTTTAATTTTGTATTATACTCCTTACAGAAACACTATGGATGGCAGACTGTGCTTAATATCGATTTTTTAAACTTGCTTTGAGGAAAAATGCTATAACCTCAACAGTAAAAAGACAACCTCAACAATAAAAAGACAAACAGCCTAGTCAGAAAATGGACAAAAGGACTTGAATAGGCATTTCACCAAAGAAGTTATGTAGATGGCAAACAAGCACATGAAAAGATGCTCATTAGTCATTAGGGAATGCAAATCAAAACCACAGTTAGATACCACTTCACCTCCACTAGGATGGCTGTTACCCTAGAGCAGAAAATAACAAGTGTTTGCCAGGATGTGAAGAAATGGAACCCTCATCCATTGCTGATCAGAATGTAAAATGGTGTAGTTGCTGTAGAAAACAGTTGGGTGGTTTCTCAAAAAATTTAACATAGAAATTACCTTATGACCCAGCAATTCTACTCCTAGGTATATATGCAAAAGAATTGAAAGCAGGAACTCAAACAGATTCTTATACACCAGTGTTTATTGCAGCATTATGTACAGTAGCCAAAAGGTAGGAACAGCTTAAGTATCTATCAACAGATGAATAGATAAACACAATGGAGTATTACTCAACCATAAAGAGAAATTTAGTCCTGATACTGCTACAACATGGATAAACCTTGAAAATATTATGCTAACCAAAATTGGACACAAAAGCATAACTATATATGATCACACTTACATCAAATATTTGGAATAGGTACATGCATAGATATGAAAAGTTTATTAGTGATTACTAAGGGAAATGGTTCACACTCACCAGCCACTCTTCGGAAGGAAGGTTGGGCAATCTACTTCCATAGTGATACTGCCTCAGAAACCCAAGGAGGGGTCGCTGTGAGTTGGTTCTGACTCGATGGCACATAACAACAACAACAACAAGGGAGATGGAGAGTTATCACTTAAGGGTGACTGGATTTTTGTTAGGAGCTCTGGTGGCGTAGTGCCTAAGGCACTTGACCGCTAACCAGAAGGCTGGCGGTTCAAACCCACCAGCCACTCCTCGGAAGGAAGATTGGGCAATCTACTTCGTAGTGATACTACCTCAGAAACCCAAGGAGGGGTCACTATGAGTCAGGTCTGACTTGATGGCAAACAACAACAAGATTTTTGTTAAGGGTGATGAAAAAAAATTGAAATGGATAGTGGTGATGGTTGTACAACATAGTGAGTGTAATTAATGTCATTGACTAGTACATACACAAATGCTTGAAATGGCAAATATTTTGTTACGTTTATTTTACCACAACAAATTTTATTTTTTAAAAATATTCTTTTCATACATCATGGCAGAACTGCCTGGGAATCTTAATACTGATGCTCTGGCCCATCTGAAATAGACTGAATCTAAAGCCTTGGTAGTGAGTCCTTGGATTTGTATTAAGTTACCCAGGTTGTACTAGTGTCCTGCATGGAAAACATCTGGTATGAAGTTAAAATACTTTATTGCCTTGATTCTAAAATGCATTTTTTATTTTCACTTCATGTCTCTGCAGTATAAGATTTTTGTCTTATATAATAGATAAATGGTAATGAAATTTATGAGTGTTTTGTTTCAAGCACTGTTTCAAGCACCTTTTGCATATGCTATCTTCTTTATTCTTTAAAATAATCTCAAGGGATATATATTACTGTCTTCATTTTATAATTAACAAAACTAAGGCACAAAGAATATCTTGCCCCAAGTCACATAGTATATAAAAGCTAAGCTGGGATTTGAACCTGGGCAGTTTTGAGTCTAGAACAAGTACATTTAAATGTAATTATCTATTTAAAGAGGCAGCATAGCATATTGGTTAATAGCAAGAACCCTAGAGTTACCTGGGTTTGAGTCTAAATATGTAAGGGAGACATCTACCAAGACACACACAACACACATACACACACACACACACAAGATCTAAACTAGCAGTATACATAAGATTTTAGGAAGAACTCATTACCAGTTTGGTTTCCTGGCATGTCTTAAGTGCTTTCTTAAGTGCTTATCACAGTGATAGTATAAATCTTTAAAACTCTTTTTCCATGACATGTTATAATTATCATGAAATTATTTGCTGCACTGGGTGAAAAATAACTAATTTTAAGGGACTCTGGTGAACATTAATGCATATTTTTATTCATGCATAGCAATTATATCCCAGAAGTGAGAATCATGTCAATTCCCAATCTTCGCTACATGAAGGTCAGTACCATACTTAATAACAGAAAAATAAAGACTTGACTAATCAAAGGTTTATGACTGTGTATGTGTTGGGGTCTGTGGGTGTATGTTTGGCATAGGATGCAATGAATAAGGGACAGGAATGAATGAAGTTTGAAACTGTGAAATTATTGAAACTTTATATTTCTTTAGGCTGGGATGCTTGACAGCAGCATCTTTGGCATGTTTGTATAAGGAGCAATATCCACATTATATAGAGGTGGAGAAAAGAAAGGAGATGATGTTGGCCCCGATAGCCATCTTTACCTCCTTTTTTCTTTCTGTGGGGGACGATGGTATAGGAAGTGGGGGGATTCTTTACCAGCGTGTGTGTCCTCACTTACACTCCTTTCTCCCATGTGTACCCCAGATAATATAGAATATTCTGTAAAAGCCTCTTTAGCTCATTTCTTTCATAATGTTCATGAAGATACTTCTATCTATAGTCCCTTTTCATTTTAAAGATTTTGTTGCTTATTTCAAGGGAGTACCAACCAAGTGGAGATTATCATGGTTTAAGAAATGTTAAAAGCAGCTACCACTGTCAACACTCGGGGGGAGATCTCTGTAGGAGATCATGGATAGAGTGGGAGAACAATGACAATGTGGAACAAAACTCAAAATCATTTAAAAAAAAAAAAAAAAGGAACAGGTTTGCTGGTCTAATAGAGTCTGATGGAACCACTGAGACTCTAGCCCCTAGTTGCCCTTCAGGTCTGGAATTGAACCCAATCCTATGGCTTCCAGCCAAACAAAGATAGGCGTATGAGTTGGAACATTTACATTAGGTAGATACACTCCTTGGAGAGATCAATCATGGCAGAACAGAAGGGCTGTTTACACACAGGGAGACAGCTCGGGGGGCAGGAGTGCGTGGCAGGGAAGGACATAGGGAAGAGTAACTATGGGAAGGAAATGGGAGGGGAGCTGTTGCATCGAGGGAAATTGCAGTGTGCTGAGACAAAAGTGTATGTGAGCTGCTGTATGGAAGTCAATTTGCTCTGTAAACTTTCACCCAAATCACAGTAAAAATTAAAAAAGTAAAAAGGAAATGTTAAAGGGTTTTAAAACAACCTTGTGCCTTTAAAAAAAAAAAAAAAAAAGTGATTTGAGTGAAAGTTTACAGAGCAAATTCATTTTCCATACAGCAGTTCATATACATTTTGTTTCATGACATTGACTGCAATCCCCACAATGTAACCTCTCTCTTCCTACTTCCTCCCTATAGTTACTTCTTCCTTGTGTCCTTTTTAATGCATTTCTGCCCCCTGAGCTATCTCCCTGTGTAAATACTATTCCTCTCTTGGCCCGTGATCATTCTAAGGAGTATATCTGCCTGGTGAAAATGTTCACCCTATATGCCTGTCTGTTGTTTGGCTGGAAGCAATAAGAGTGAGTTCAGTTCTGGGCCTGAAAGCCAACTAGGGGCCATGGTCTCAGGGGTTTCACCAGGCTCTATCAGACAAATAAGCCTGGTCTTTTTTATGATTTTGAGTATTGTTGCACATTGTTCTCCCATTTTATCCAGGATCTCCTGCAGTAGTGGTTGATAGTGGTAGCTGGGCATGATCTAGTTCTTCTAGTCTCAGGGTCATATAGGCTGAGGTTCACGTGGTTCACTCACTAGTCCCTTGGGCTAATCATTTCCATGAGTCTTCGGGTTTTTTCATTCTTGTTTGCTCCAGACGAGGAGAGACTAATTGTTGCATCTGGATGGCTGCTTGCAAGCTTTTAAGACCTCGTATAATTGCTATGCATGCTACTCACCAAAGCAGGATATAGAACAATGTTTTTATGTAGGGATTTTTTTTTTTTTTTAATGTTAGTACATCTGGCTAACCTGTGGCTCCTGTATTCTGTTTATGAGGACTTCCTTCTTTCAGGCCTTAAGTGGCAACCTGGATGCGGCAAGAGTTGTAAACTATTAAACAATTGGTAGTATACATTCCTGAGAATTTCTGGACCTAGTAACTGGCACTTTCTATAGGATCTGTCCTATCTCCTCAGTGAAATAGCAACTCCACAGAATATATAGTATTAATACAAATAGGTGTTATTGCTCAGGAGTAATCAAGGAGTCATGATTTTGTGGAATATTTGATACAGCAGCTAAGAAAATAAATCTACATGGCAGTATTGTAACATGTCTGAGATGTTTTTCCTGTTCTGCAGGAGAGCCAGGTGCTCCTGACTCTAACAAATCCAGTGGAGAATCTCACCCATGTGACGTTGTTGGAGTGCGAGGAAGGGGACCCTGATAATATCAATAGCACTGCTAAGGTAAGAAATACTTTGCCTCATCCTGACTGACCTTGACTTTGCCTGGGGTGGCCTCATTTTCCCTGTTATTCATCCCCAGGTAGTCATCAAGTTCTTTTGATTCCACCTCCTAACTTTTTTACTTTATTCTCAAAGATAACTGCCACTGCTCTAGTTGAGGGTCTCATCACATCTTACCTGGACTGTGACTTCATTACTGAGCTCACTGTTTTCAGTCTACCCCAGACCTCCATTCCAGCCCATCTTCTATATTGCTGCAAGGGTGAACTTTCTAAAACCATTGGCTTCCCTCTGACTTTGGGTTGAAGTCCAAACTCCTTGGCATAGCATAATGACCTCACCTTTGTCTGTTCTTCCAGCGTGATGATCTCTTAAGTCCCCACATTTAGGGCTCTCCAGGTGGTACTGATTAATAGTTGTGATCTAAGCAGATCAATAGATTAGGAACTTTCATGCTGGAGAGTTGTATGTGGTATTTGTTTTACCTGAAATGTGTTCTTTCTATCCTTACTCCCCTAACCTACACATTTATCTCTTAGTCAAACACATACTTACTCATCAAGACTCATCAGATATCATCTCCTTAGGATAGACACAGACTTAAAACAAAAAACAGGACTCCTGGTGGCACAGTGGTTAAATGCTTGGCTGCTAACTGAAAAGTTGGCAGTTTAAACTCACCAGTGCCTGAGAAAGATGTGGATTAAGACTGTGTGTGTGGGTGTGTGTGTGTGTGTCTCCCCATTTAAAAACTGATAGTCCTCTTCAAGATTCCTTCAGCTTATATAAAGTATACATAAAATCAAACCCACTGCCATTGATTCTGACAGAGAGCTGCCCCATAGGATTTCCAAGGCTGTAAATCTTTCAGGAAGCAGACTGCCACATCTTTCTCCTGCAGAGTGCTTGGTGGATGGATTCCAACTACTAACCTTTTAGTTTATCCAAGTGCTTTAACAATTGTGTCACTGGGGCTCCCTTGAGCTATACATAGCACTACCTAAATACCATAATGGATGAGTTTGATTCTCATTAAGTATATGTTGAATGGATGAAATGTGGCCTTTCTACATTTTATCCCTGGTGATTCATCTAGTATTTGAAATTTCAAATAAAAAACTTATTTTATGTACCATCTATTCCTCATTCTTAATTCAGCATAGTACTTACAGCATTCATACTCATAACTGCATTCAACCTGAGAACAATTGGTAGAAAGGACCCCGCTATCTTTAATTAACTCTGTTAATCAAATAATACTTACTATTACAGAGTTTCTCCTACCCCCCTTTTTCTTTTTTTCTTTTGCTGCCTTTTACTTATTCGCATCACTTCTAAGGAGAGGAAATGACACATCTGTCCTTTGCCCTCTTTTGAAAAAGACTAATAAGCATATCCACTAAAGACAGAGACAGAAATAAGTGCCTACGGCTTATAGCCATTTTGTAGATTTGCTGTCTTTCTCTCTCTTTACACTTCCTCCTGCTACATTTATAGCTATAATTGCAAATTTGGTTGACATTGTTATCTGTTAATCTCTAACATAGTAAAGTTGAAACAGTTGCAACAGAAGTCTAAACAACAGCAAAAAAAAAAAAAAGTCACTGCTGTCGAGTCAGATCCGACTCGAGTCAGATAGCAACCCCTCCTTGGGTTTTCAAGGTGGTATCACTACGGAAATAGATTGCCCAGCCTTCCTTCTAAGGAGTGTCTGGTGAGTTTGAACTGCTGGCCTTCTGGTTAGTAGTCAAATACCTTAGGCACTATGCCACCAGAGCTCCAACAGAAGTCTGAAGAATGCTGAAATGTTTTCTATGATTATAAACATACCTAGCATCCCCATTACAGAAAATATCCAATGTGGAACAGGGGTTTTGCTTTTCTTTTTTTTAAAAAAAAGACAATATGTTTCAGATACACCAAAAGTATAGAGGCTAATACAGCAAACACCATGTAATCACCCTCTTGAGGAATAAAACATTAAAGACACATTTCATCCTCTTGTGTATCCTCTCCAGTTGAATTTGCCACTTATAGCCCCAATGAAGTAACCACTCACTTGACTTCATCATTCCCTTGTATTTCTCTCTTCTTACACTTTTATTTGAAATGTGTGTATTCTGAAACAGTGTTTTAAAAGTGCATATAGTTAGTATAATGCTGTATGTGCCCTAAAGCTTGCTACTTGCATATGTAGTAAAACCTGTAAAAACCAGAACCTGTATAAGGCAGAAACCTGTCAGAGAAGGAAAACTCACTAAAATGAGCAACAGAAAAATGGTAAGACTTCATCTTACCAAAAGTGGAAAACTTATGAGACCCAGAAAAACAAAGCAGTCCTATCAATAAGTTTCACTGTATATGTCTAGATCAGTTTAATGCTTTGGTCTATTGCACTGAATAACCAACTACCATGCATGGATTCGCTCTGAACCAGGCCTCTGTGTTGACCTCCAGGTGGTGGTGCCTCCCAAAGAGCTCATTTTAGCTGGCAAGGACGCAGCAGCAGAGTACGATGAGTTGGCAGAACCCCAGGACTTTCAGGATGACCCTGAGTGAGTGATCTTTTTTGTGACATCCCCCTTCCAACACACACACATACACACACACACAGTTGGCTGATACAGGATGCCCAGTAGTATATCCAAACTTTTTATCTGGGGCTCTTAAATTGTTCCTCCTGTTTACAAAAATAAACACTATAGAAAATTTGGGAAATACAGAAGAAAAGAAAAGAAAATCACATTAACTTCGCAGCAGTAGCGGTAAACACTGTTAACATTTTGGTGTTTGTCCTTCCAGGTATATCTTCCATCATTGCAATTATTCTATAAACAGTTTTTTTGCTGTTGTTTTTCAATTAAATATTTTTATATCTTTCCATATTAATGAAAGTTTTTCGAGTGCATGATTTTTAATGGTGTGTGCAAAAAGGGCACGGAGGCCACATGTTCTGACCTCCTCTAATCCCACAATAGGAAGACAGAATCACCATCAATAGCCCAAGGCCTATTCCTGGGAGGCCAGACATGCTTCCTCCCTCCAGCCCTTTCTCCAACCATTCCTCCCAAAGCACCCACGACCTCTCTCCTGGGTTCGATAATTCGCTGCAGTGGCCACACACAACTCACAGATTATGGGGTTTATTAGAGAAGCACCAGGCTACAATTCAAGTTCAGGAAAAACGCTCAGTCTCTCTCCCAGCCCACCGTCTCTCAGCCAAGTCTCTCACAGTCTCTCCCCCAGCAGTGCATGTCCCTTGGTGTCTTCCTCAGCAATGCGTGTCTCTTGTGTCTCTTTCCCAGCAGCACGTGTCTCTTTCAGGAGCGCGTGTCTCTTTCAGGAGCACGTCTTCCTCAACCAGCAGTTCAGAGAGAGTTCTGCCTCTAGGAGGCCTCCTTTTGAGCTTGGCAGAGTGGCCAAACCAACCAATCATAACAACAGAATTCTAAGCACCTGAGAGTGAGCCTCCCATAACATTGCATTGTGCCATGCCCAACAGAAATAACCCAGGTACATAACATTTACAATCAGGAGCTCCTCAGTTGTTCATTCCACCACTGAGTTTACAATGGCTTATGGGTAGAAAAGCCACACTAAGTAATTTATTACACCACAGTGTGACAAGATATAATATTCTGTCCGCATAGATTCACCATTTAATGTGTACCTACCCTCCCCCTTGGGAGCTCTGGTAGCATAGTGGCTAAGGCACTTGACTGCTAACCAGAAGGCTGGCGGTTCAAACCCACCAGCCACTCCTCGGAAGGAAGATGGGGCAATCTACTTCCATAGTGATACTGCCTCGGAAACCCAAGGAGGGGTCGCTATGAGTCAGGTCCAACTCTACGGCATATAACAACAACAACAACAAACCCTCCCCCTTAAAGTAATTACTAGATTTTACTGTCATACCTAATAGCTGAGAAGTAAAAAACCAAACCTTTCTCTGGATAGGGAATATATCAGGATTCATCCCCAAAACATTAATCATGTCACTTATTTGAACCAAACCCACTGCCATGGTGTCCATTCCAACTCATAGCAACCCTACTGGAATGAGTAGAATCTTTACAGAAGCAGATTGTCTTATCTTTTTCCTGCAGAGCAGCTTTTTGGTTCAAACTGCTGACCTTTTGGTTAGCAGCCCAGTGCTTTAACCACAATGCTACTCAAAAAAAGAAACCTACTGCCAATGAGTGAGTTGCAACTCGTAGCAACCCCATAGAGTTTCCAAGTCTGTAAATCTTTATGAGAGCAGACTGCCTCATCTTTCTCCCATAGAGCAGCTGGTGTGTTCAAACTGCCTACCTTTTGGTTAGCAGCTGAGTGCCTTACCAAGTGCCACCAGGGCGCCTTAAATTATTTATACAGAGAGAATTCAATACAAGCAATTGTTAAGTTGGTTAAACTTATTAAATAGGTAACTGAAAGGGCAAAAGAGAACTGTAAAGTACCCCAGAGGTAGCATCTTTATGAAGCATCTACCATCTCTAGGGCTGAGAAAGCAAAGGGAAATGTTAGAATTATTAAAATTTAGAAGCTTGAGGGAGGAGCCCCCATAAAGCTAATACTCAGACCTCTGGGCAATCGGGACGGAGCACTGCTTGGCTGGTGCTGGCATCTCAAGGTGGCATAGGAGGGGTGGCATGATAAGGCTGATTATGCAGGAGTTGGGAATCTGCAACTGGATACTGCCACTTCAGGGATGAAGAAACATTGCTGAAGTGATGCGTACAGGCATTGCAAACAAACAGGAAGCTCACAGAGAGGAACAAGGCCCTTCTCCCTCCAGGCTCCTAGTCTCCTATTAGAGCCTCTGTTAACAGAGCCTAACAGGGAGCCAGCCTACGAAACAAATGTGTTTAGCAGAATCCTGTGTCACAAAGCAGGATATATAGAAAGGCAGGTTTGGAGTCAAAAAACATTAGTTTAGTAAGTGGGCACAGGGACCATTAAAGGGTTTTTAGCAGAATGATTAAAAGCTTAAAAGATTAAAAATGATTAAAAATGATTAAATGATCAAAATACTGGAGAGAAGAGAGAACCTGGGATAAGTTGGAAAATAAAGTGAAGGTGAGATTAGTACAGTGATTACCAAATTTGATTTAACTTGAGAAAGCACCAGGGGGCTGGTATTTTGTTTTGTTTTTTTTATTTTTTAGAGTCCAAGGTCCCATCCCCAGACATTCTCTTTTAGCAGATCTAGGTGAAGACTAGGATCTCTGGTGGTATAGTGGTTAAGGCATTTGGCTGCTAACCAAAAGTTTGGTGTTTGAATCCACTGGCCACTCTGCAGAAGAAAGATGAGGCAGTCTGCTTCCATAAAGATTTACAGCCTTAGGAACCCATTAGAGGGTCACTATGAGTTGGAATCAACTCATTGGCAGTGTATTTAGGATTGATTGAGATAAAGATCAGAAATCTAAATTTTTTTAAAAAATGCTCCCCAGATATCAGTGGTTACCTGGGAAGGTAAAAATGAGAAAGAACAACTTGCTTTGTACTTCATATTGTTCTTAACTGTTTGAATTTTTTTTCATATGAATTTGATATGAGTCGAGGGTTTAGTCACTATAATAAGAACTACATTCTCTTAAATCCTTGGCTTTTTGTGGTTCATTCCACCACCACTGGTTGCTGTCAAGTCAGTGTTGACTCATGGTGACACCCCCATGTATGTCCTTAAGTTATTGTGTTCATTAGATACACAAGTTTGTTAAGCCAAGGTGAACGTCTGGAAAGATGTTCAAAAATAGCATAAATTCCAATTAGAGTACATGACAGATTAATAGAAAATTGAATTAATTATATGTCACAGCAATGTATTTTACAGAACTTTTAAATATCTGGAAATTAATACCACATAATACTGTACAGATATGCAAATGTTTAATTCCAGTAACTTTCCTTAGAGTAAAAAATAGCACTTGGATAATTTATCAAATTCTGTTTATTTCATTGCCCTTTTACTTATTGAAGCTAAGTTATTAAAGCATAACTTTAAGTGCTGAAACAGAAACCCCAACTCAAGAGACTTTTTTCTTAAAATTCCTAATATATATGAAGGTGTTTACCAAAAAAGCACTGAAAATTGTATTCTAGAAATTGCCTTAAAGCTCTGAGTTCTTAAAACTTCCCACAGTATCATTTTCTATCTAATTATTACCACCACATGTGCACAAAGATCAATGTAAAGAGATGTCTACAGCAGCATTGTTTATAATAGAAAAAAATTGGGAACAGCATCAGTATATACCAATCACGGTAAATGTACAATAGAATACTGTGTTTAAAAAAAAAAAGAATGAGGATGGTCTGTATACACCAATGTGAAAAGGTGTTTGTGTTATAGTAAGTGGAAAAAAAGAAACTTACGGGATAGTATGCTCCATTTGTGTTTTCTAAAAAAAGGCAAAAAATACCTGATAGGGTAGGAGTCAAAGTGTTTACAGTTTTCTTCTGGGAGGGTGGTATGTTGAAGGAGAGAATAAAGGGAAGGACTTTAACTTTTTCCCATTTGAATTTTTTGTGGCAGTATTTTACTTTTTTAATATTAAAAAATTAAAAGGTTATTATGCTATTAAAAGGTTAAAGGACATTTTGCTGAAGAAACTCTCTTTATTGCTGATAAATGGGGTGGTAGTCAGATCTTGTCATCAGAGATTTCTGTTGTGCCATAAAATGACTAAGTTTTAGTGGTTTGACAGACTTATAACCTAATGCTGTACTTATTTCCTCTGACAGTGTTATAGCCTTCAGAAAGGCCAACAAAGTGGGAATTTTCATCAAAGTTACACCACAACGCGAGGAGGGCGATGTGACCGTATGCTTTAAGATGAAACATGATTTTAAAAACCTGGCAGCACCCATCCGCCCCATCGAAGAAAGTGAGCAGGGCACAGAAGTCATCTGGCTCACTCAGCATGTAGAACTCAGCTTGGGCCCACTTCTTCCTTAAAAGATTCCTCTGGTAGGCAGATTCCAAAGGACAGTGTCTACATGAACCTATGTTTAAATACCGAAGCCACTGCTTAGTTAGGCCTTGTTTATTCATGATGTGGGGGCCTAGGCCTAGGCAAGGCATTAGGAGCACAGGGAAACTGCTGTTCCTCTTGCTGTCCCTTCTGTAACACCAGTAAACCTGTGTCTCCCTCACCAAACCCTGCATGTCAAGTAACAACAGCATATGTCCATCCCAAGAAAGGGAGCAGCTATTCCTTAGAGTGGTGTTAGATTTACCACCTGAGAAATTCTGACTATAATATCTCTGAATTTGATCTCAGAAGGATCAGAATCTCACAGATGAAACTTAAAATTATAACCCAATGGTGGACTTGCTGTTAATGATTCAGCATTGGTCTCCGTGTACCAGCTGCTTTTTGCATTGCATTAGATGTAATCTTCAGTCTGAACATATCCCTTCATTTTCCATCATGGCTTCCATCTTGCCATAGAGTTTTCCATTTGACACACACACATACACAAAATAGAATTGTCACATTGTCTTTTGCTTTATGATGATTGGAACAACCTGTGCAATCCCTAAGGCACTCATTTATTTGCTCTTTTAATGAAAACAGAACATTATTTGTTGACTACTCTTAAAATTTTTCCTTAGTGGAATATGAAACTCTTGTCTTTTACGAAGAATTAGAGAAGCAAATAATTACCAAATCAAGGGAGTGGCAAATTCTGTTCATTTAAATGTTGCCACAATATCCAGGAAGTAATACTGCCACAAGGAGGCAATCTTTTTATGTAACTCCCTATGCCCCCCTCTCTTCTCTGCCTCTTTAGCTCCATAAATTGTTCAGAGTATTTTGGACCTGGAAAGAGTCCAAAGAAAACATGAGTGAATAAGTTCACTCCTCTAATGCAAAACACAAAAAAACATTTTATAGGTTAGATGATTTTTTTTTTTTTTTTAAGGCATCTGATCTAATGTTCTTTGCATTGATTTGAAGGGGAAATTGACAGTTACAATCTTTAGAATCTAAAACTGGATATGAAGAACGAAAACTTTTCCTGAATTTATGATTTTTATCTATGATATGTCTTATGAGACCATTTTGATTGTAAACCATAGAATAGTTCATCAGATAGCCCAGATACTGGCCTGACAGCACAGACGCTATTTCCCTTGGTGTCCTGGATTGGATTGCTAACCTGGATCCTGTGATGTTTTCTAAAATGAGACTTGACACAGTATGCCACCAGCTGCACCACCTTCTCAGTAAATGTATTGTTAACAAGTGACCAACAACATTTGGGGAAAGGGGAAATTTCGTCTTTACCCTAGTTTTGTTTTCAATTTGAAGTATTTTGTTTAAAGAAAAAAAACGATGATGTACTGTAATCTAGAGTACAGATAGGACAAAGTAAATTGTCTTACCTTGAAAGATAAAAATTTAGGAAACCTTTGAAAAACACTAAATTGTACTCTTAAGGTCAAGCTAATTATATGAAACAATATTCCTACAGAGTAATATATATGTTGCAGTGTAAGAATAAATTACTCGTGTATATTATATGACAATGATAAATAGGGTTTAGCCTGTTAGGAGTTGGAATGGGGGTTGGATAGTGACAAACTTGCAGACTATAGGAAGAATTTAAGTTTTTGTAACACTGCAGAGTGTCAAAATAATTTTTATTTCACTACCTACTAAAGCCTACTATGAAGCCACTGCTCCATAATTGCCAGTGGAGGAAATGGGCATCAAAGTAGAGGATAGCTTTTTATGTTTACAGATTTCATAGACTACACACAGTTGTATGTCATGTGTTTATGGCATATAGCTGGTATATGTTTCCAAAAATAATGTTAAAGTTATAGGTCTCACACCCTCACAAAAACAATTTTGATAATAGAATAATTATTTCATCAGAAGCCAAATTAACTTTCAGAATAGCAGCCATGGATTTAATGTTTCCTCAGGATAGTTTTTAGTGCAGGCTGGTATTTTGTGTGTTCATAGAAATGTTTCCTCATTCAGCTGGTGAAATTAGGAATTGTATTTGTTGCTTTTTTATATTAGATCACATGTAAGATTGTCTAATGCATAGTTAGTGTGGACCACTCCAGAAGAGTTAGATTCCAGTAGCACTTGAAAGTATAATTTTGGAAATTTAAGTCTGTGTTGATTCAGATTTGTGATTTGATTAACCCACCAGTTTTCTTTTGTTCAAAGTGCTGATAGGCGTAATGAGCTAAATGTCATCCATATTTGTGAAGAAACATCTTTGGTCCCTTTTGGGAATAAGAGGCACTCCTTGATCTTGATTAAATGGCAGGTTACTGTTTTGCCTTACTGCTTAACTTACTGTAGTGAAATAAAGCAGATGACGCTTGAGTGTGTCTTTTGTTTGGGATCATGAAGACTGAACTGGCACAGTTGAGAGTCGGAAGACAGAGAATCAAGAGAGTTCATATATGAAGATCAGGGGGACATGCTGCCTTCTGTCAGTTATTTACATGAACTAAGCTAAAGCCTCCTATCAGGTTAGTTCATTAGAACATTATGTAAGTAAATGTTGGTTGAGCTCCTTGTAAACATGTTCTTAGTTAGAGTTGTTATGTAAATGCTATTTTGTTAGGCCTCTACCTGCTTTAAGCCTAAGTCATTGCTCCCAAAGATATCCTTACAAATACACAAACTAATCCAATCTGACAAGTAACCACTCACCTTCATCTGTAGCCATATACTCTTTGATGAATTGTTCATGCTCCTTCTGTTGAAAGCCAACCCCACCACTTAATGCACTAGATCCCATCCTCATGTCTGTTCAGGGATATCAAGTCAGCAATTCTCCCCTGCTTTTGCTGCCTCATAATGTTCCCTCCTTTGCATCATTTTTATCAACATCCTATGATTTTCTCATCGTTAAAAAAAATTGACCTCTTACCCCTCTTCAGCTGCCCCTGCCCTCCTTTCTCTGCTTTCTTTAATACAAAACTGGTAACTCCACCTTCCAGGTCCCCTCTTCCCATTCTCACCTAAAGGCATTCCAGTTAGTCTGTCATCCCCACCGTTTCATCAGAACTGTTCTCAAGGTTACTGGTGATCTCCACATTGCCACATCCAACCAAAACTAAATTCACTGATGTTGAATCGATTCCAACTCACAGTGACCCCCATTGGGTTTCCAAGGTGGCAAATCTTTACGGAAGTAGATTGCCCCATCTTTCTTCCATAGAGTGGCTGGTGGGTTTGAACCATCAACCTTCTGGTTAGCAGTGCTTAGCAGTCAAATGCCTCAGGCACTGTACCACCAGAGCTCCTTCACTGCCACATAGAACTGTCAATTATCAGTCTTACTTAACCTTCCAATAGCATCTGACAGTTAACCTCTCCCTTTTCTCTGAAACTTTCTTTGCTTGGTTTCCAAGACATCCTCCTGGTTTTCCATCTGCTGCACTGGCAACTTTTCTTCCATACTGTTTTCTAGTTCTTCCCCCATCTCCTTAACTTGGGAATGTACCAGGCCTCATTTTTTATGCTTCTTTTCTGTCTATATTCATTCTTTTAGCAATCTCACCCAGTTGTCAGACCATGTCTCAAATTTAAATGCCAACTCTAAAAAACTCTCTGAAAGTCTCCCTCACTACATCTGCCTCTCCTATAGTTGCCTCTAACTAAATGGCAACTGTATCTTTCCAATTTGCTTAGAACAGAAGCCTTGGTATCACTCTTGGTTCCTCTTAGATGCCACATGTAAGAACTCAGCAAATCCTGTCAGCCTTACCTTCAAACTATGGCCACTTCACACTATCTCCACTATTACTACCCTGGGCCAAGCCACCATCTTCATAGACCCTTGGGTTATTTCAGTAGTGTCCAAACTAGTCTTCCTGAAACTACCCTGATCCTGAACCTACTCTTTAGTCAGTTTTCACTAACCAGCCAGTGTGAATAAATCATAACTCTTAAATCTGTTTAAGACCCTTGAAAGACTTTTTAGTATGGTCAAGTGTAAATGATAAAGTCCTTACATTAGCTTATGAGGTACATAATCTGAGACCCACCCCTCACCTCCACATCCCCAGATTCATCTCCTGCTCTCCCCTGCTATGCTGATTCTAATCCAGCCTCTCTACCTCCTTGCTGTGCCTGAAAAACCCCAGGCAGACTCCCTCTCAAGGCCTTTGCACATCCTTCCTCCACCTGGAAAACTCTTCTCCCAGATATCTGTATAGCTCACACTCTCACTACATTTAGGTCTTTGTTCAAAAGTTTCCTTCTTAGTGTCAAACCAGTCCTTTTTAGGTCCAGTCTCAGTATTTATCTACTTAACCTTCCCTAGCCATATTTAATATTGTAGACTGCTATCCTCTAAACACATTCCCTAGCTTCATTTTTCCCCCCACCCCGGGGACTAGTCATCCAACATACTATATATTTCTTCTAACTCATATTGGAACATAAGAGCCATTAGGCCAGGAATTTTGTTTTTCCAGCTTTTAAATTATCTGCAGAGCCTAGAACAATGTCTTGCAAATAGTTGTTAGGTGCCGTCGAGTCAGCTCTGACTCACAGTGACCCTATGTACTACAGAACAAAACACTGTCTGGTCGTGCACCATCCTCAGTATTTGCTGTGCTTGAGCCCATCATTGCAGCCACTTTGTCAATCCATGACATTGAGGTTCTTGTCCTTTTTCACTGCATCTACCAAGCATGATTCCCTTCTCCCTTCTCCAGGGACTGGTCCCTTCTGACAAGATGACCAAATTACGTGAGATGAAGTCTAGCCATTCTTGCTTCTGAGGAGCATTTGGGTTATTCTTCCAAAACAGATTTGTTCCTTCTTCTGGCAGTCTGTGGTACTTTCAGTATTCTTTGCCACACCACAATTCAAATGCATCAAGTCTTCATGCTCTTGCTTCTTCATAGTCTAGCTTTCACATGCATATGAATTAATTGAAAATTCCATGGCTTGGGTCAGATGCACTTTGTCT